CAATTCGTGAATCTTTTGCAACATGCTCAATACGAATGTGCGCGGCGCTGAGGCGAGAACAACCTATTGAAAACGAAACGCCCTCAATCCGTGAAACTAATGCAACATTTTCATAACGAATGCGCGCGGCGCTGGGGCGAGAGCAACATTCTGAAAACGAACCGCCCTCCAAACGTGACGCTCCTGCAACGTTTTTGCAACGAATGCGCGCGGCGCCGGCGAGAACCAAAATTTGAAAACGAGCCGCCCTCTATCCGATATCCGTGAAACTCTTGCAACGTTTCTGAAACGAATGTGCGCGGCGCTGAGGCGAAAACCACAATGCGAAAACTACCCGCCATCCATGTGTGAAGCTCGTGCAACGTTTTCAAAACGAATGTACGCGGCGCTGGGGCGAGAACCGCATTTTGAAAACTACCCGCCTTCCATCCGTGAAGCTCTTGCAACGTTTTCAAACGAATGTACACGGCGCTGAGGCGAGAACCACATTTTGAAAACTACCCGCCTTCAGTCCGTGAAACTCTTGCAAACTTTTGAAATTAATGTGCGCGGCGTTGATGCGAGAACCACATTTTGAAAACTACCCGCCCTCCATCCGTGAAGCTCTTGCAAGTTTTTGAAACGAATGTGCGCGGCGCTGAGGCGGGAGCCAAAAACCGCACTCCATCCGTGAAGCTCTTGCAAGCTTTTGAAGCGAATGCGCGCGGTGCTAAGGCGAAAGCCGCATCGTCCTTCTGGTGCGGGGATATCGCTTCCGGTGCGGGGAAGCGTTACCCTTTTGCGGGAAAGGGGGTTCTTGATTGCTTCATGAGGTTATACGCGTGCGCGCTGCAAGCCAGAATGGCAGCGGACGCGCACGCGTTTGCCTCCTCGAGTGGGGAGGACGCAGGGAGGAGGGGGAAGAGGGGAAGAGGGGGAGGAGGAGGGGGAGGAGGAGGGAGGAGGAGGGATGGAAGAGGAGGAGGAGGAGGAGGAGGAATGGAAGGAGGAGGAGGAGGCGGAGAAGCGCTCCTGGTCTGGCTCCTCGGCCTCGGCGTCTTCGCGCCGGCCCTGAGCCGCCCTGCGCGCCTGCGCGCTCGTGTTTGGTAGCGACCGCTCTTCCTGCGGAGACTCGTCGGGGTCGTCGTCGGGGTCGTCGTCGTCGTCGTCGTCGCCATCTTTCGGGGTCGTCGCTGTGGTTGCCGTGGTCGTTATCGTCATCGTCGTCGCCGCCGTTGCCGTCGCCGCCGTCATTGCCGGCGCCCTCACCGTGGTGGTCGCCGTGGTGCGGCAGCGACGGCTTCCTGTCGATGGGGCCGCCCGCGCGGCGTCGGGGACGGCCGAACCTTGGGCCTGGCCAGGCTCGGCTCGATCGGCAGGTCACTGCTCGGGGGTCGAAGCTGTCGGACGTTTGTGGATAGGGCTCGAATCTTGAGACTCGAGGTTTTTGGAAGTGTTTGGCCCGCGTTCGACCTCCCTCCGCGGACCTCCCGAAGCCCCCAGGGCTTCTGAAACCCTTTGGAAGCGTGCGTCGTCGTCGTCGTCGTCGTGGTCGTCGTAGTGGTGGTCGTGGTCGCAGTCGCGGTCGTGGTCATTCTCGATGTCGTCATCGAAGGTATTTGTATAATCCAACATCCAGAGACCCGCACAGTCCGTGCCCGAAAAGCGTCTTGAAAATGCCTGCTAGGGAGTTTCAAAGGTGTGTGGGCGCCAACCAGGAAGCATAAAATAATGCCAGGAAGCCAAAACACTTGTGGGAGAAGCTTGCAAGGAAACGTGAAAACAGACGCCGCAAGTTTGCAAGCTTGGCTAGCTTCGGACGATCTCAGGAAGTGTTTCGAAGGAACTGTGCAAAGGCTTCCGGCACGCGTATGGGAAACGAGTAGGAAAACGCTTCTGGGACACGTTGCAGGCTCAAGCAGGCCGCTGCGGGGATGCCTGCCCAGGGGAGCCGTGGAAAGGAAACTGGCTTAGCCATGCCTGTCGGCTTCTTCTTTAAAGCCCCCAACAGCCCTCAAGGAGCCATCCGGAAACGTATGGCGTCCAGAACCTGGATAGTGGGCGCTCCCCGGGCTGCGCGCCTGGGGTCCCAACCCCCAGGCCGTGCCACGGACCACGCGCTCGGAGTCCGGACCGCGCTCACGGGACGATCACGCGTGGGTGTACAGCCCTGGAGACCAAGGCCAAAGCGCCTGGAGAGCCTGCAAGTTTCAGAGGATCTTCGCACGAGTCGCCGAAACGCTTCGAAGGAGCTTCGCAAAGGCTTCTGGCACGCGTATGAAGAAAAAGTAAGGCAACAATTCCAGGACAAGCTGCAGCTTCAAACACGCCGATGCGGGGATGCCTGCCCGGGAGCCGTTGAGAGGAAGCTGGCCTAGCCCTGCCTGTCGCTTTCTTCTCTAACAACCCTCTGAGCTCTCACAAGGAACTAGGATCCGAAGGACGGCCAAAAACAGGGCCAGCGGGTACAAACGCACACGATGGGCAGCGGCGGCGGTAAATAAAAGGGAGGCCCCGCGGCTCCGACGGGCTGCAAGACCGGCGGGGCAGCTGGCCGCAGCCGAAGGGAAGCATGCGGCTGCGTTCCCTCTGCGGCGCCGGCAGCGTTTGGCGACGCTGCCTGCTGGCGAGAGCCTCCTCCTCCTCCTCCTCCTCCCTCCTCCTCCTCCTCCTCCTCCTCCTCCTCCTCCTCCCTCGTCCTCCTCCTCCTCCTCCACCTCCTCCTCCTCCTTCTCCTCCTCCTCCGCCTTTTCCTCCTTCCTCCTCCTCTCCTCCTCCGCTCCTCCTGCTCTCCTCTCCTCCTCATCCTCCTCCTGCTCCTGCTCCTCCTCCTTCCTCCCTCCCCTCCCCATCCCCCCCATCCCCCCATCCCCATCCCATCCCCCATCCCCATCCCCATCCCCATTCCACATCCTCCATCCCATCCCCATCCCATCACCCATCCCCATCCCCATCCCATCCCCATCCCATCCCCATCCCCCCCCCATCCCATCCCCATCCCCATCCCCCATCCCCATCCCCATCCCCATCCTCATCCCATCCGCATCGCGCATCCGCATCCGCATCCGCATCCGCATCCGCATCCGCATCCCCATCCACATCCGCATCCGCATCCGCATCCCCATCCCATCCCCATCATCATCAGCATCAGTATCATCGTCAGCATCCGCATCAGCATCATCATCTCATCATCATCATCATCATCATCATCATCATCATCATCATCTCATCATCATCATCATCATCATCATCATCGTCATCATCATCACCATCATCACCATCATCACATCATCACACCACCACCACCACCATCATCATCATCATCATCATCATCATCATCAGCATCATCAGCATCATCATCATCATCATCATCATCATCATCATCATCATCATCATCATCATCATCAGCATCATCATCATCATCATCATCATCATCATCATCATCACCACCACACCACACACCACCACAGCAGCAGCAAGCAGCAGCAGCAGCAGCAGCAGCATCATCATCATCATCATCATCATCATCATCATCATCATCATCATCATCATCATCATCATCATCATCATCATCATCATCATCATCATCATCATCATCGTATCCTCGCGCTGAGACTTGCGCAAACACGGTGCGCGAGTCGGAATCCCACCACAGAGCCTGCCGCGATCGCCAGCGGGCGCGCCTGCTGCTGGCGGCCTGGGCGCGCAGGAGCAGCGCGCGTCTCCGCGAGCGCCTGGCGGAGGGCGCAAGCCCCCTCGCAGCCCACCACGGCTCCTCGCCAGGGAGGATGGCAAGCCGCGGCGGCGGCGCGGGCGGCGGCAGCAAGGCGACCTGGGATTGTTCCTGCGGGGCCAGGGGCAACTGGGCCTCGCGGGATGCCTGCCACGCATGCGGCGCCGAGCGACCGCCGCGGGCGAGGCCGCGCTCCGCCTCGGCGTCGGCGCGCGGGCCCCGCAGCGGTGCCACGGCTGGCGCCAGCAAGGAGGTCGAGGCCCTGCGGCGCGAGCTCGACGGCCTCGAGAAGAAGAACAAGGCGGTGCAGCGCTCGGCCTCGCGGGGCGCTGCTGGCGGAGGAGGCGCGCGGCAGCGACAAGGTGGCCGAGCTGCGGGGCCCCATCACGAAGCTGGAGGCCCCGGGCAGCGAGGACGAGGCCATGGCGTCGCTCTGGCGTCCCACCGCGGCGAGATGGCCCGCATCCAGGAAGACCAGCGCCTGGCCAAGCCACCGCGCGAGCAGCTGCGGGCCATCGACAGCAAGATCGGCGAGCTGGACAAGCGGGGCGTGGCGAAGCAGGATGCCGTCGCCAACGCCGATAAGGAGCTCGAGGCAGCGCTCGCCGAGCGCGCCGCCCTCAGCGCGGAGCGTGCCAAAATCGCGGCGTCCCACCTGGCGGAGCTTGCGACCAATGCCGCCACGCCTGCCGAGCGAGGCTGGCTCTTCATGGACTCCCTCGGCAGCCTCAAGGCCGCGGTGGCGGGCCAGGCCCCCATCCGAGGTCGCGGCCGCGGCGCAGCTCGTCGAGGAGTCGGGCGAGCAGGAGGCCGCCAGCGTCGCCGCGCAGCCCAGGCCGAGCGATGCAGGAGGCGGCGCCAGCGCGGAGCCCGTCGAGGCCCTGGCCAGCCAGGAGGAGGCAGACGCGGCGGACGCGGCGATGGACGACGCGCTGGAGTCGGCACTGGCTGCGGATCTAGTGGGCCCCGGCGGCGATTGCGACCGCCCTTCCTCGGGCCTCAGCCGCGAGAGGATCCGCGGCGTCATCGCCGCAGCCCGCGCCGAGGCAGCTGACCGCCGCGGTAGTGGCAGCGGAGGGGTCATCGAAAAGAAATGACATCGGCCGCGCGCCCGTTCCCCTGCCTCGACGCGCTGATCCCAGCGAGCGGCCCTGCCGCCCGCGCAGCGCTCGAGCGCGGCGCCGAGGGGGCGGGCCCGCGCGGGGAGAGCGGGAGCCGCCCCGACCGCCCTGCGGGCGCAACCCCGCGGCGGCCAGCACGGCTGCGGCGCGCCCGCCCGAGGCGCAAGGACACGTTCGAGATCGTGGCGGTCAACGGGTCGGGCTGGGGCACGATCGCCCAGCTCTGGCAGGAGGAGGTGGCCGGCGCTGGGTTCGCCGAGAGCCACCGCGCAGACGCGCGGTTCGTCCAGGAGACGCACCTCCACGCGCGCGACATCAGCGCCCAGGAGGCGCGGTGCAGGCGCGCGGCGGTGAAGGCCGCCCTGGCGCCTGGCGCGGCTGGCAGCGGCGGCGCGGGAGGCGCCCGCGCGGCCTCGGGCGGCCCCGGGGTCGCCGCCCCCGCCGCGCGCGGCCTGGCCAACGCCAGCGCGGCGGGCGGCGGCCGCGTGACCTGCAGCGACGGGCGCGGCGTCGTCGCGGTGACGGGCGCGGTCCGCCGCGGGCAGCGTCTACCTCGCCAGCGACGCCGTGGGGGAAGCGCCCCAGCGAGCCCTCGTCGAGATCGGTGACGCGCTGGTCTCCCAGGGCGGGCCCCGGGTCATCGGCGGCGACTTCGACGCCGCGCCCGACGTTTTCAAGGCGAAGGCGGGCTGGTGGCTGGAGGCGGCGCAGGGCGCCATCGCGCAGTCGGCCGAAGGCGAGACCTGCTTCCAGAGGCGGCTGCGCCCACCAACCTCGACTACATCATCGCGCATCGCAGCCTGGCGGAGTCCGCGAGGAGCTGCAGCGCGATCACCCCTGGGCCCTTCAGGCCCCGCTGCGCGGTCAAGCTCGCGCTGAATGCGCGCGTGGAGATCGCGCCCATGCGGGTCCTGAGACAGCCGGGGGCATGCCCGAGGGAGCTGCCCATCGGCCCGCGGCGTGAGGCCGCCCCCCCGTCGGCCGACCTGCAGCGAGCCCGACGTCCGACCACCTGCAGATCTCGGGCGGCCCCACGTCGAGCGGGCAGGCGTGGCGCCTCCTCGCCGTGGCCGACTGCCTGGGCGACGCCGCGATGCAGCGCCGCGCGCGGCGGCGCGTGCCCGCGTGGGCGGCCAAGTGCTGCGGCGCCCGCTGGGTTGCCGCGATGGCGGCCGTGGCCGTCGCGACCGCCGATGCCCTGGCGGCGCTGGCTTCCGAAGCCCGTGTCGAGGCAGCCGCGCCGGCCGCCGAGCGCAGCCGCCGCCGCCACGAGCGCTTCAGCAAGTGGGTGCTGGATGCGCTCGAGCACGGCGCGGGCGGGCGGCGCGCCCCACGCGGCTGGCTCGAGGACGAGCTGGACATGCTAGGGGGCCCCAGGGCGGGCCAGCGCGAGGTAGACGCTGTCGACGGGTACTGGGCGCGCGAGGTCTGGAGCTTGGACGACGGGTTGGACGGGCGGCGGGACTTCGAGCGGCAGACGGACTCGGAGGCGCTGCCCGGACCGACGGCGGCCGAGTGGCTGGACGCCGCCAAGTCTTTCGCGAAGCGCACGGGCACGGGCGTCGACTGCGTCTCGCCCCGTGCATTCGCCCAGGTGTCCGAGGCCACGGCCGAGATCTTCGTGGACATCGGCGCGGCAGCCGAGGAGTGGGGCGGCCGGCCGCTGGCGGCGCGGGCGTCACTCATCGTGATGCTGCCCGAGCCCGCGGGAGGCTGGCGACCCATCGGGCTGCTCTCCAGCGCCCTGAGGATCTGGAACAAGCTCGAAATCCAGGCGGCGCTGAAGGCCGGCGCCCTGGGCGCCAAGCCAACGAAGGCCACGAAGAACCCAGGTGTGGACTTCTGCCTGGACGGCTCGGCCGCAGCGGGAGCGGCGAGGAAGCGGCGCGCCAGGGCCCGCGAGCAGCTCGGGCGGGTGGGGGGCGCGCGACGCCAGTCCATCAGCGCGGCCGCGCGCCTGCTCGCGGGCGGCCCCCCCGCCCGACGACGGCCTGCGGCTGCTGCGCCCGGGCCTGGTCCACGAGCGAGCTCGAGCACTGGCGATCAGCGGTCGGATCCCTCATCTTCGGCAGCGCGCGGGGCCGCTCGCTGCAGGTGGCGTCGCGCTGGCCGCCGCGCCCTGGCGCGGCCACCTGGCGCTCGCAGGCCGAGCGGGCGCTCCTGGCCTGGGGCCGCGGGCTCGCGCGGAACCGCCCCGACGCGACCTGCGACGTGCTGCGGGCGCGGCGGCATGCCGCGCAGGTCCGCCTCGAGCAAGGGCCCGGCGCGCTGGCGGGGCGCGGCCCAGCGACAGCGGCGCAGCTCGCGCTTGAGCGGCTGGGCTGAGGCACACAGCGACGCACCGCCGGGCCATGGATAGCGGCGCGACGCTGAAGCTTGAGGAGATCGGCAGCCACGCGCTCTGCAGGCGCATCCGCGACTCGCACCAGCGGCGGCTTTGGCGCGAGGCCGTGGCCCGCGACGCGGATCTCGAGCGCGCGGCCAGCAGCGCAGCCACCCGCGGCCTCCGACGGCGGCTGCTCGGCGCCAAGGCAACCCCCGAACAGCGGGCTCGGTGGTCCAGCGCCCGCAACGCGGCTCTCGGCGGGCTCTGGCCAGTGGCCCGCCGAGCCGCCCTCGGCCCGCCGCTGCGCCGCTCGGGGGCCCGCCCCGCGGGATGCGGCGGCCGCGGCGCGGCGCGGCACCTCGCCTGGCGGCGCCCCGCCCTCGCGGCGGAGAGGCGCTACGCCATCGCGGGGGACGAGGCGCCGCGGGCCTTCGCCGACGTGGCTGAGGCTTCCGACAGCGAGGACCCCCGCTACTCGAGAGCACTCATCCCAGAACAGACGGCCGCCCTCCCGCCACCGTTGGAGACCGAGGAGGCGCGGTGGAGCAGCTGCGGCTACGCGGCCTTGGCGGGCGCCAACGTCCCGTGCACCGGCGGCTCGGCAATGCGCGGCAAGGCGGGGTCGCCCGAGGCGTGTGCCGGCTGGGGGCTCGCGACGCTGCAGGCCCGCGGCGAGCCGCGCGGCGCTTGGGGGTGCGCCCCCGCCCGCCTGCCGCAGGATGCGAACGCGGGCGGATCATGGCCGCTGCCCGCGCCCCGCGCTTGGGCCGAGCAGGCGCGGGCGGCGTCCTCGAGATCGGGACGGACTGCAAGCTGCTCGTGACGGGCACTGCCGCGGGCAAGGCCTGGCGCTGTGCGCGGGGCCGCCCGCGCATGGAGGTGCGGCGCGATTTCCGGCGGGCCGTGGGCAGTTTCGGCGGCCAACAGCGCGCGCGGGTCACCGAGGAGAAAGGGCACGCCACGCTCCGCTCCGCCACCGACGGCCACACCAGGACGGACGACTACGAGGGCGACCGCGCCGCGGACAGCATCGCCAGGAAGGGCGCGGAGCTCCACCCCATGAACGAGGCGGCGATGGAGCGCATCGGGCTGGCCGATGCGATCGCAGCGGCAACGGCCCGCTGGCTCGGCGAGGCGCTGCAGCTGGGGCGCACCGCCCTCGCGGCGGCCGACGGCGCGGACGCGGGCGCGGCGGAGTCCACCTGCCGCGGGCGCAGCTGCGGGCGGCGGGGCGCCGCGCGCTGCAGCGACGGCGGGCCGGGCTGCAGGCGCGGCACGGCGGTCTCGGGCGCGAACGGCACGCGCTGGCTCTGCGACGCTTGCGCGGGCCGCTCGGATGGCGCGCCCGCCCCGGGAGGGCCAGCGGCCGCCGCGGCGGGAGCGCCGCCGGCGGGCTGCCTGGGCCCGAGGAGGCCGGGCGGAAGCGCCGAGCCCCTGGCCAGGACGCCGACGCGCGGCGCGGCCGCGCACGGACCTCCGCGAGCGCGGGCCGCCGCGGCGCCGAGGGCGCGGGCGCGGCCGCCGCAGCGGCGGCGGCGGCAGTGGCGCCGGCGGCCCAGGCCCGCTGAGGGGCCCAACACGACGACGGCGACGCGGAGGAGAGCAGGGGGGCGGCTGGCGCCGTGGCCGAGGACGCGCTCCCACGCTGGTGGCCTGGGCGATCGGCGAGGGGCCCCGCCGCCCCGTTTACTGCGCGGTCTGCGGCTGCTACGCGGACGGCGCCCGCGTGGTCGCGCCCCGCAGTCCATGCGCGGGCGGGGCCAGCGCGCGCCAGGCCGCCGCGCTGAGGAGGGCGCGGCTGGGGCGGCACCTCGCGCGGGGAGGAGCGGGCACCGCGCTGGGGGGCGGCCGCGCCGCGCCGCCGAGGCGCCCGCGCAGCCGTTCTCGCGGGCGCGGCTCGGGGGCGGGAGGTCCGAGCCGCTGAGCGGCGCGACAGCGCGCCTTTCCCCTCCGATTCCCCTCCCCTCCACCCCCCCTCGGCGGGGCCCGAGGGCCCCGCCGGTGCGCGCGATAATTTATAACGGCTGCGCCGAGCACCGCTCCCAGACCGCCATGGCCTCATCTCATCATCATCATCATCATCATCATCATCATCATCATCATCATCATCATCATCATCATCATCATCATCATCATCATCATCATCATCATCATCATCATCATCATCATCACCACCACCCCACCACCATCATCATCATCATCATCATCATCATCATCATCATCATCATCATCATCGTCATCGTCATCGTCATCGTCATCGTCATCGTCATCATCATCATCATCATCATCATCATCATCATCATGATCATCATCATCACCATCATCACCATCATCATCATCATGATCATCATCATCAGCATCATCAGCATCATCATCATCGTCATCATCATCAACAACAACATCCTCATCATAACTGTCATCATCATCATCATCATCATCATCATCATCATCAACAGCAGCATCATGGCTCGCGCAAACTGTGCCCAGGGCGTTGTTTGGCGCGTTTCAGCTCGCCGTCTCGGACATCATTTTTCAAAAACGCGTTCAGGTCTCAAGAAAACAACTTAACGCGCTAAACAAATCTGCTGTTTTAGCTTTTTCAAACATTGGTTCAGCGCTTTCAGCATGTAAACACACAAAAACCACACACACACAACCAACACAACTGCCCAACAGCCGCTCAAACAATGTACTTGTTTCTAGGGTTTTCAGCCTGTCAAGAAAATGGGGGGGAACGCCCAGGGCGATTTTACCTAACAGCTTTTGCTGATAGGTTTCTAGTAGGGTCAAAAGAAAGCATCATGACTCCTCAAGGGGGTCTGGGCGGGTGCCGGGGAGGAGAACCGGGAATCGTTTTTCGCCAACAGTCACACACTTCGTGCTCTTCGACCTCCCAGAACTCCATTCCCGGGCTACATTCTGGAGAACCGGGAACAGAGCCGGGCTCGCTTTTCGCCAACAGTCACACACTTCGTGCTCTTCGACCTCCCAGAACTCCATTCCCGGGCTACATTCTGGAAAACCGGGAACAGAGCCGGGCTCGTTTTTCGTCAACAATCACACACTTCGTGCTCTTCGACCTCCCAGAACTCCATTCCCGGGCTACATTTTGAGTGCCCGGAGCCAACTGTAGGCCACTTCGTGCTCTTCGAGTTCCCAGAACTCCATTCCCGGGCCACATTTTGGATGCCCGGAGCCAACTGTAGGCCACTTCGTGCTCTTCGATTTCCCAGAACTCCATTCCCGGGCCACATTTTGGATGCCCGGAGCCAACTGTAGGCCACTTCGTGCTCTTCAAGTTCCCAGAACTCCATTCCTGGGCATGATTTTGAATGCCCGGAGCCAACTGTAGGCCACTTCGTGTTCTTCTAGTTCCCAGAACTCCATTCCTGGGCCACATTTTGAATGCTGAGGCAGGCTGATGCTGCGGCCGAGGCAGGCTGAGGCTGAGGCAGGCTGAGGCTGAGGCCGAGGCTGAAGGCAGACTGAGGCTGAGGCTGAAGCAGACTGAGGCTGAGGCTGAGGCAGGCTGAGGCTGAGGCTGAGGCAGGCTGATGCTGAGGCAGGCTGAGGCTGAGGCTGAGGCTGATGCAGGCTGAGGCTGAGGCAGGCTGAGGCTGAGGCGAGGCTGAGGCTGAGGCTGAGGCTGAAGCAGGCTGAGGCTGAGGCTGAGGCAGGCTGAGGCTGAGGCAGGCTGAGGCTGAGGCTGAGGCAGGCTGAGGCTGAGGCTGTGACTGCGACTGCCGTTGCCGCTGCGACTGTCATCGCGAATGCGACTACGACTGCGAGAACAGCAGAATTCTACAACTGGATTTTCATCTGAATCTTAAGGGGAATGCTTTCAGATATGCTTCTACATATCGCTGTTAGGTTGCTTTGCCGGGATAATTAAGGCGAACCGAGCTCATCATCATCATCATCATCATCATCATCATCATCATCATCATCATCATCATCATCATCATCATCATCATCATCAGCATCAGCATCAGCATCAGCATCATCACCCTCGTCGTCATCATCAGAATCAGCATCAGCATCGCCATCTGCATCATAGGCATCCTCACCATCCCCATCAGCCTCAACATCCTCATCTTCGCAGCATGATCACAATATCATCAGGATCAACAGCACTATCGTCATCAACTTAATGCATCACCATAATCAATATCCCCACCATCCTCATCATCCTCATCACCACTACCATCGCAATAATTGCAACCACCACCATCCGCATCAACACCACCATCACCATCATCATCATCATCATCATCATCATCATCATCATCATCATCATCATCATCATTATCATCATCATCATCAGCATCGCCATCATCATCATCATCATCATCATCATCATCATCATCATCATCATCATCATCATCATCATCATCATCATCGACATCGTCACCATTACCATCAGCATCATCATCGCCGACAACACCATCACCATCAACACCGTCATCACTTTCATAACCACCATCGTGGTCAGACTCGTCACCACCAAGAACCTAATCGGCATCGTAACCACACCAACCATCATCAGTGACATCGTCGCCATCATCGCCACCACATCGTCGCCACCATAATCATCATCACCGTTGCCACGTTCCCAGTTGTACTCCTGCCCCATCGCCATCTTCATCACCGCCGCCACCAATCATCATCAAACGTGGTCACTTGATGGCAGGCCTTCGCAGGAGTGGTCCACAACGTGCCATGCACGCTTCGCAGCGGCGTGCGAAACCGCGCATGCTGTGCGCAACCAGCACCACCATCGTCGTGGCGTTCTTTGTCCTTTCCCTGTTCTGCTCGCTCCTCAGGGAAGGCCTCCTCTCACCCCCCCTCCTCCTTTTCCTCTTGTCTTCCTCCTTCTCCTCTCTCCCCCTCCTCCTCCTGCCCTTCCTCCTCCCTCCTCCTCGTCCCCCTAAACCCCCTGAAAAAAGGGCGCGCTAGGTTGCCCGGGTTTGAAGCTCAAGCGTGGCGGACGCGTTATCAGACGATGCTCGATCGTGCTGTGCTTTACCATGCAGTTTTCTAACGCGCCCCTTCAAATGTTGGCCTTTGGGGGGCGCTGCCTGCTCGGCTAGCTCTGGTCAGAGCGCTGCTTGGGCCCACCCTTCGGAGAAACCCATAATAACAACATCTGATTCGTTCAGACTCTAGATATGGCGTGAGCAGAACAATATGGCGATGTAGAATGCGCAATCGAGCACCCACTTTCGTTTAGACCAGAGCGCCCCTGCGTGGGCTCACGCGCGCGCTGTTTCAATGGATGTCAGCGCGCGATTCGTTCACTCGCCATTCTCGAACTAACGAAACACGTTACTACGAACGCGCAGACAACATGCGGAACGAATCAAAGCAACAACTCTTCGTTTAGCGCGATCATGTTTTAACGTACCAATATTGGCTCATATGTTTCACGCAGCCTACCATGTTTTCCAACACCTGCCTGAAACTCTCCATCTCTGTGTCGCCGCGACCGCCGCCTCGCCCCTTGCCCCAGGGAGCGCGAACCTTTTTTTGCGTACTCGCGTCTCCCAGGTGGCCCCGCCGTTGATCGGCGCAGCGCTGCCGCGGAGCGCCGCGCTGACGGGCGCAGAGAGGGCGGAGAAACGAAAACGCACCTGCGCGACAAATCGTAAGGCGGGAAAGGGAATGAGCAAATAGGGCCCAGACTGCGGCGAAGTCCCGCGTAGTCGGCGCGCGCCGCGCGCGATTGGCCGCGATCGAACCATCGCGTCGCGTGGCGGGGCACTCCGACGCATGCGCGCGGTGTTCCGCCTGCTCCGAAGTTCGAAATTCGCACTCCAGCGAACAAACGCAACTGCCCGCTCCGCGCGCTTCGCTCCAAGCTCGCCACCCCTCGCTCCAGACCCAAGGTTTGGATGAAACGCGGGGGGGGGGGGGGGGGCGCAAAGCGATGCGCGCGAGATCGAGGTTAAGAAAGACAGCCGCCCCAGCCTGGCATTCGCGGTGGACACGGGCCGCAAACGAGACGACGCCGCCCCGCCAACGGCGCGACAGCGTTGGAATTTCAAGCACTTGCCCCGCGAAGCCTCTGCTTCTCATCGCGAAGACCCCGCAGCGGCGTCGGCGGGCCACCGCGCCGCGCCGGCGCCAAACGCCACCCGAGCACCGTTCGCAGCAGCGCCGACGCGGGTTCCACGCACTGGCCACGCGAGACTCCGAATCACAGAGTACACGCCGCTTGCCTCGCACAGCACCTGGCGGTGCTGTTCGGCGGCACGCTGCCGCCGCTCGTCGTCTTGCCAGACCCAGCGACGCTCGCAGCGCGCATGCCCCTAGCGTTTCCAGAACAGCGTCGCCGCGCCC